AAAAAATCGCTGGTACAAATTTTTTTCAAATTTCCTACTAAATTTATCTAGTTTTACTGGGCTATAAACACAAGTGAATTTTTAGTGTAATTTTTAAGGGATGAAAAATTAATTATGTCATAAGTTATGACTCATAACTTTTCACAATTTCAAAATTTCCGATTTATCGCGTATAGTTTTTGAAGTGTGTCATTTTAAAAACTTTTTAAGTATGTAATCCACTCTACAAACAATTACGAATAATTTGATACCTTGGAAAGAGGTGTGCTTTCAGAATAAACCAACTTTTAAAGGTAAAAGATCTTGAGCGTAATTTTTATTCCAAAAACATCTTAATTGAAGGCACATTGGGAAAATACTTCGAAACAATCTAAATATTTTTATAACTACTAGTCCTGGTAACGTTGCGTATACCAGTAAAATGCTTCAAAGAAATGTTCTCTAAAAGTGTGTAAAAACCCTGATTTACTACCTTTAATGATGCTCCTTCTTATAGTCAGAATATTGCGAGCGTGGTATCAAATCAAATTTTTTTCGACAAAGGTTCTGATAGTTGCTCTTACTTAATTACTTATTTGCTCTTAAATTCAATGGCGTCCCCAGTTTTGCCCGATTGCAACCACTTTTCGAGATAGCGGTACTTGAAACTTTCCTTAAATTTTAACTATTTTATTAAAAAAAACTTCCTCAGTTTTGAAGGTCACGATTGTATTTTAATATTACCTTCACTATCTATTAAACTCATCGAAATCGGTTCACTATAACATCTAGCTCCCATACAACTGATTGTTCAGGGACGTTGTTTTGCGTTATAACTCCTCCAATTAAGCAGGTAAAAATTTACTATAGGTTCACTTTAACATATAGCACGCATACAATTTATTATTCAGATATGAACTTAGAGTTATAGCGCAAAAACACATATCTGAGTAATCAGCTGTATGGAGCTATATGTTAAAATTAACCTATTTCGATAATTTTCAGGAATTATTAAGGTAATATTAAAAAACCGTTATGTGAAAAATTTAGTAAAATAACTTCAAAACTGAGGGATTTATTTATAAAATAATTAAACTTTAATCAACTTTTTAAGTACCGTTATCTCGAAAACCGGAGCCAATCTGGTAAAACGGGGGATGCCATTGAATTTAGAACGTCCCAATTAATTACGTTCAACTTTCAAAATCTTCGCTCAAAATTTACAACTCGCACAGCGTAAATTGAAGCCAGCTTATTCTTTTGTTTTCTATTTCTGCGATCTAAATGTTTATCCTCGTCTAACTTTTGAAGCACTTGATGAAAATGAATTACACTTATATTTATCGATTTATTAAGAGATTACGAATAGAATCACATATAAAACACAGTTGTGCCCACAAATTAAAAAATTAAACGTTTTGTTATGACAGTGTTTTTAGATTTGCCCATAAGCTTTTTTTTTATAAATTTTTAAAATTTCTTAAATAGCTGTTAATTGCTACTGCAGAGGAATTCTAACAATCACTACGCAAAATTTTCGTCGGCATATTTCTTTAAATCAATAGCAGTGATTCCGAAAGTATGCAATATGGAAAAGAAACAGACGCAATGTGTAATCAGCCCGAAAAATTAGGAATCCATTTTTCCTTCATCAATGCCTTAAAATTAAAAAGACGGTGTAGTACTGGAAATGGCTGTTTGGCGAAAAAATTAACAATTAAAGTTTTTGCTGCAGTTTTCCATATTTGTACATACGGATACCTTCCAGAACTGGTATTATACGTAAATAAATAAAATAAATAAATAAATAACTTCGGAAATCTTTCAAATTATTTATCTACATTTAACTCACTATAAGCGCTTACTTTAGTTATGCCTTCGCACTAAATGTCGAAGTCATGTGACTTATCGTTCCTAAGTTATAGCTGATTGGAATTTCGCTTATTTATATATGAGGCCTTGCGAGCAGAAGTGGCCTAACCCAAAATTTTTATTTTTGTACTTACCTACTCAAAATAGTCTCAAATGCGATGAATTTGAAAATAAAAGTCGTTCGTTCCTTAATATTAAGGTACAAAGCTACATAGCGTACCATTAAATCAAAGAATAAGTGACCTGTATTTTAATATTTATAAAAAAATTTAGAATTAAAAAAAACGTGCTAAGTTAAAATGAGCACCAACCAACTCGTTTTAAATTTGAGTATGTGCGTTATGAAATATGTCGTTGTGAAGTGCACAGATGCTTTTTCGTAATTAAGAAGAAAAAAAATAAATTTAATTTTATGTTCCGTCAGATGGTAATTGAACCCGGACCCTCTTGGCAGCAACGAATTGTATCAAGCGTCTTTGCACACTCACCCTGCAGTAAAATTTAGAGACAGTCTGTTAAAGCGCTAGTCCGCTCTATACATTTCAGAACTAGCTCCGAACTGGTGCAAAACGGCTGCAGGGAGGGACAGTTAAAACTTTTGGTGTGGTAGTTGCGCTCTGTTGCGAAGAAAAAGCACAAGTTCTCACTTCTCGTACAATACTAAAATAGCTCAGCGGGAAGACCTCCGACTCCTACATCGTTGGTCGCGAGTTCAAATCGCGGTGGAGGCAGTAAATTTAAATTGTTGAGTTCCGCTTAAGAGAAAATGATCGAATTTAATATAAATAAAATAAAAGATAAAAAATAAAAAATAAAATGCAATCTGTAAAAGACCAGAAAAAATTAAAAAATATCAAAAAATCTGATAATCAAAATTTTTTTCATAAAAAAACCTATTGTCGCAGATCTGTCCAAAACGGAAAAAGTTCAGAAAAGAAAAAATATCCAGTAATTTGGTTTAAAAATGTTTTCTCATAAAAAAAATTTTTGGCCCAGAACTGTCGAAAATGGCACCAGTTCAGAACTAGTTCCAAAGTTCTGCAGAGGTGACAATTTCCACTTCGTAGGACATCGCCATGTAAAGAGACAGTTGAAAGCATTGCGTTGGGATAGATCGAGAACCAGTACCGCCTCTTAATGAGCTAGTTCTGAACTAGCGCAATTTCCTGCAGGGCAGCTACAGCAATACATGCAAATATGTTTTCAAATGTTGAGTTTGAATCAACATCACAGCGCGCGATTAGTGCATTTGTATAGATACCCTGCAAAAAAATGTGCGACAAATCTCTATAGAGAGTATTCCGAGATTACTCTCAATCGGGTACAATTGGCCATTAATTAGTCGCAACTAGTCTTATACGGGTACTAATGGAGGTCAATTAGTCTCGACGCATCCCTTATGGGTATAATTGGAGATCAATTAGTCCCCAACTCATCTCTAACGGGTACTATTATCGATTTAATGATATGTACGCACTTAGTCAATGAAATTTCACATGCGGCGTTGGCACACAGAGAGAGTATTCGCCTAACAAAACTGAGCACCCCGGTTCGAATCTCAGCTGGCGCAAATTTTTATTTTTATTTTTTAAAAGTGACTAGTCGCTTTTTATACCCATTCGGGTATAAAGGTGAACAATTAGTCTCTTCATAGGACATGCTCGAACAAAAGCGAACAGTTCATTCCATATAAAGAGATCAAAAGTGGTATTAGTCGCATGCGATTGCTCCCGGAGTCATCCCGGATTAGTCCCATTTTTTGCAGGGTAAATATGTACCATGCATGTGTGTGTGTTGTCACCGCTGTGCATGCTTTGTATACATTTACTTTCTTAATTACATATGAAAAAGCATCCGAGACGTGCAAAACACCATCCATGTAGTGAAAAATGCTTCATTTTAATACGGGCTCATTTGAATTGAATATTTCCATTGTACGTAGTGTATGTATAATGGAAATATTCAATTTTGAATACTTTTCACTTGATTTAATTCGAACATTTTTAAACGGTAATCAAATAAAAAAATTCATTTTTACAACGCGTTTTTTTTCTCCGTATATGACTCAAAACATATGATTCATAAAAATATAATTCATTTATAAACAATATATCCGGCCCTGGTTAAGTCCTATATGATAAAATTTCAATAAAAAAATGTTTTTGCTTATTTGACCAGTCATTAAAGATGACCAAGGAACAGTGAATTGTAATCGAATATTTTTAAAATTAGCCTCTGCTTTAACTAAATTTTCAAAAGATCTTTAAATTGTATTAATATTTGTTTTAATGAGCTAATTTTATTACAGAGATTCTAGAATGGTTGCATTCGCTGAGGAAAAAGCATGGGCCAGTTTTCCGGATATGGCTTGGTAGAGATCTAATGGTATTCTTCAGCGATCCTGAAGACGTTAAGCAATTATTAAGCAATAATACACTACTTAAAAAATCAAGAAGTTATGAATTAGCCGAGGCATGGTTGGGCAAAGGACTTCTCACCAGTAGCGACGACGCATGGCACCGTCGCCGAAAATTACTCACACCCGCTTTCCATTTTCGCATTCTAAGTGAATTTAAGGAACCCATAGAAGAAAATTGCAAAATATTCATCAGAAAATTACGGGAAAAGGCTAATGGCGAACAGTTCGATATCTACCCATACATAACATTGTTTGCCTTGGATGCTATCTTGGAGACAGCGATGGGCATAAAAAAGAATGCCCAAATGCAGAGCGAATCTGAATATGTGAAGGCAGTGCAAACGTAAGATGCTGAACGAACAAAAAAGCTTCGTTTTCATTTACAATGAATTGAGACCCTTTATTTTTTTGTTTTCCTTTCAGGATATGTCGCGTTATGCATAAACAGTCCTTTTCATTTTGGCAACGTTTCGAGATCATTTTTCGTTTCACCAATTCGTATAAAGAACGTACTGAGGCTTTAAAGATTCTACACGGCGAGACGAAACGTGTCATTAAGTTGCGTCGCCAAATGTTGCAGGACACCAATATACAAACCATGGCGGATGCAGAAAAATCCGATGACGTTGGTGGCAAAAGGCGTCTTGCCTTCCTTGACATGCTGCTCATCTCCCAACAAGAAGGTGGCGGTCTGACTGATCAGGAAATTAGAGAGGAGGTTGACACATTCCTGTTCGAAGGTCACGACACCACGAGCTCAGCAATTGCGTTCTGCATATATTTGCTCTCTCAGCATCGAGAGATACAGCAGCGAGCCTATGAGGAGGCGTCAGCGTTGCGGGGTCACGAAAAGGAGTCCATGCGTTACATGGAAGCAGTCATCAAAGAAACGCTACGCCTTTATCCCTCTGTGCCATTTTATTCGCGAAAGGTGCAAGAGGACTTACAATTAGGCAATATTACGGTGCCAAAGGGTGCTTCAGTCAGCACACTCGCCTATATGGTGCATCGTGATGAGAAGTATTACCCCGAGCCGGAAAAGTTCGACCCGGAGCGGTTCTTGGCAGCTGAGAAGGATCTACATCCATTTGCATTCGTTGCATTCAGCGCTGGTCCACGCAACTGCATTGGTGTGTAAATCCATTCCTTCCTTTTACCATTTTTTTTTCCTTTTCTTTTGATGCGCAGTATTTCTCTTTTTGCAGGACAAAAATTTGCAATGTTGGAATTGAAGCTTTCTCTGTCGTCACTTCTGCGAAGCTACGAGTTTTTGCCAGCAGAAGGTTTCAAGCCCAAAGCTCTGGCTGAATTGGTGATGAAGAGTGGAAATGGTGTTCAGATACGGTTGCGTCCGCGTATTTGAAACGCCTTTGTCACTATAAAATAAATTTTATACATTTTTACAATTTACAATTACAATTACATGCATTAATTTAAATGGAATAAATGACGAATTGTAGTTTTTATAACTACTCGCTTTTATTTGCTTTAGCCTAAAGTCAAATTACAAGTATATTAAAAATTTGAATCAAATAATAATGCCAAAAGTAAAATACGAAATGCGGCTATTAAGTAACGAGAGATGACGAAAGAACAAACAAATAACCATCAATACATCTTGCGGAACCTAGATTAGCCTCTCCTGGCTCTGGGGAGATTCTCAACTCTCCCAATAATTGAAATTTTCGTGGGGCACTGGAAGTAATAGCTCAGAATGACCCCGGAACATATCAAAGAATACGGAAATAAAAGACAAGGGCACGTGAATTATTTATCAACAACCTGCGAGGAAATAATAACTTTGAGGGTTGAGAAAGGACAGGCAGAAATAATAAGCCGGATCAAAAAGACAAAATATTCGTACTATTTCATCTCTGTTCATATACGAGACTGCCATGTTCAACCGTTTAATACTGCATGAAACATGAGCGGCAAGTACAAAGGAATTCAGGCGAGAATTGAAAAAGAAAACACGTGGTAGGAAGTTAACATTTAACCTGCTTCGGGCTCCCACATTCTTAATCCGGCCCTGCGAAAAGGGAACAATTTATTTGATCTTAGCGGAATTTATATGCTTTTATTTCATACTTACCTGCAGGAGTATCTCATTTCTGTAACGACTTTTTTACGAATCTTCAAGGAAAATTATATGAAGTGGTTGACACGAACTCGTAAAGAAATTCCTGTAAGAAAAATAAAGAAAATTCTGAAAAAATTCTGCAAGAAATTCTTCACATAGCAGCATTATGTTCATAGCTTTACCGATTTTATTCCGAAATTTCGTAAAAGGATAGAAGTGTGTACAATTAATTTCATTTTAGAAACTTCGTAAAAAATCAGATGAGATCTTTACGAGTTCTTTAAAATTTATATACAATTCAGAATACTCTGAAAAAAATGGTTGGTAGGGTAGGTAAGTTTGTGTATTCATATGTATGTAGGCACGTAAAGTTGCTTAATAACTAGTTGATTTCCAAAATGCAGAAATTAGTGTTCCTAAAAATTTGGTAGTAATGGTTATAAATAGTTTGACATCAGTGTTGCCACTGCCTGCCTTAGCCTTTAGAGTATCCATAAAAAAGCTAAACTGTATCCAAATGTATCCACCGAAAAGATCGGACACTTTTACACAGTACATCTATGGAAGAGAAACTCGGGCCCTTAACAAACTTATTAACATGCCAGTATTTTCCCATCTTTAGACACGGATTTGGGAAACAAAAGCCCTTAGTTATAGTCAAAATTAAGTCGACTCTAAAGTTAATTGCAGCTTTTTGACATAATTTTCAATAGGATACCTCTCAACACTACGGGCCTTTGTTTCCCAGATCTGTTTATAATAATGGAAAAATACTGACTACAACTACGGACCAAAGTTTTCGCATGCTCGATGTTTATTACTACGATTAGATTCCCATAAATAATACATGCAAACAATGTTTCCTAGTCTATCAAAATAATACTAATTTAAACTAATTTTGACCTGTTACATTTAGCTCAGTAAATTGTTATTTCCTGCCATTATGGTTACAATGTTTTTCAAACAAACTGGTGGATTGGGAGCCATATATGAAATTTAAAAATTACTCAATGCTGGTTACAGAGAAGAAAGAAGGCGTCCTCTGCAATGAAGAGACCAGGTGGAGAATTACCTGGCTTCACTTGGCATTTCCTATTGGCGTCAGTTAGCACCGAAGAGAAACGACCGGCGTGCTTTTTTGGACTCTCTGTGGCGTTTACTGCTCCAATCAAGAATTGATTATCGGCCACTGTGGTGTAGTGGTTAGCAGTGCGCGCTACCATTCCGCTGGGTCGGGTTCAAGCCCGGTTCGACCCCACATAAAAAAAAAGTAATAATACATTTTTTTCTAATAGCGGGCGCCCGCACAGTGGGACGCCCCCATATAAGCTGCGGCCAAAAGCAGTAATCGTACTAGAAATTCGATGAAATTTCGTATATCTGCTGTTCGGCACTTAGGAATGAAGAAATGTGGAAAATGGAAATGAGAAAATCATAAATCTGAAAGGTCGTCAAAATCGGTTTACATTATCGTCCAGTAATTCTAGAAAAACAGGCGCTAATAAAAAACAAAATATTTTTTGATTAAATTCGGTGTGCCCTGCTCGTTTAAGCCAGAATTTTCCAACTTGGAAGATAATAAAGAATTTCTTATTACGGCGCCCACCTCCTACACCACTTTTTTGGCTCCAAGTACTAAATTTTATGAATTTTGGAGAAAATTAACAGGCACATTTATTTTACTTCTAAGGAAGTTCCTTTGTCTTCATTTTAAAAATGACAAAACGAAAATCATTTACAATACCTACATACTAAATTATATGCACGATATGTATTTACACTGGAACTTTCAATTTTACCTACATTTTATACAACAAAAGCTGAGCTAAAGCCAGCAGGCCATCGAAAACGGATCTCGTCTAGAGAAGCGTCCATTTTTGGCTGAATGTTGAATGTGATTAATAGATTGGCGAGTCATTAATATCTACATCTTCTTCAATTTCCATTTTATATTGCATATTATTTATTTTATGTACACACCAGAGTATTTCCCTTCAGCTCTACAATAAAAATTCAATAAATTTTACAGGAGGTGGGTCTATAAAAGGAAGAATAGAAGTTGAACTCGCAGTTCGGGCAAGTACAGACCCGGCAGCAAAAAGTATAACCTGCCCACACGACTCAAGCAGCTTCACCGTCCGGCATCGCAGAATCTGCGAACAGTAGCACTTGTGTGCAAATTTTCAGCGGAGCGCTAGGGCTCCATCGAACAGCAGCTACCAGAAGCGGAGCACCTATTCGGCAGGCTAAGTGTGGTGTGTGGTAAGGCCATTAAATGGCGACCGTGTCTGGTATGGAGGCCCCCGGCGTGAAAAAAAACTTTCAAAAACTTAATAATTAATAAAATAAAAAAATAAAAATAACAAGTAAGAAAGTCTAAGTTCGGGCGGAGCCGAACATTAAATACCCGGCGCAAACATTAAATATATGTTTTTTCACCTTTCCGAAACCTACCGCTAGATGGTAAGCCGGGGTGTATCAATTTTTGAGTAAATTAGCGTCCTTCAATTTCGAAATATTCAAGTTTCAAGCATTTCTGAAATTTACCGTTATTTGAAAAGCGGCCGTAATTTTAGTCCGATTTCAATAATTTTCAACTCTTTGCTTTCATGAGGCAATCACAATAACCACACCGAGTTTGGTACAAATTGGTAGAACGGTTACCGATATACATATATGTGATAATAAGTGGGCGGTGCCCCGCCCATTTTCCAAAATTTTACCATAAACGTATTTCTTGGTAAAGAATTGTTGCAAGCATCAATTTTGAATAAATTAGTTTCAATATTTACTGATTTATCGAAGATTTTGTATTTCTCTAAATTACTGTTATATGGGATGTGGGCGTGGTTATCGTCCAATTTTAAAAATTTTCGAAGATTTTGTATGCTGTACCAAGGCCAACAACTGTGCCAAGTTTGGAAGAAATTGGTGCAGCGGTTCCTAAGAGATACACATGTAACCATAAGTGGGCGTGGCTACGCCCATTTTACAAAAATTTATACTACTCTTATTTTTCGTCTAAAAATTGTTGTAAATATCAATTTTGAGTGAATAATCTTCAGTAGTTACTAAAATATCGCAGTTTTCGTATTTCCGAAAATTACCGTTATATGGGATGTGGGCGTGGTTATTGTCCGATTTTAAAAATTTTCGGCCGTTTGGTATACTGTGCGAAGGCCAACAACTGTGCCAAGTTTGGACGAAATTGGGGTAGCGGTTCCTAAGATATACACATGTAACCATAAGTGGGCGTGGCTACGCCCATTTTCCAAAAATTTATAATATTCTTATTTTTCCTCTAAAAATTGATGTAAATATCAATTTTGAGTGAATTATCTTCAGTAGTTACTAAAATATCGCAGTTTTCGTATTTCTGGCAATTACCGTTATATGGGAAGTGGGCGTGGTTAAAGTCCGATTTCGCTCATTTCCAATACCAACCTACCTTGGATTAAGGGAAACCTACATACCAAATTTCGTTGAGATATCTCAAATTTTGCTCGAGTTATCGTGTACACGGACAGACGGACAGACGGACGGACAGACAGACATGGCTTAATCGATTTCTTTTTTCATCCTGATCATTTATGTATACATTTGTCTATATCTATCTCGATTCGTTTTGGCTGTTACAAACAACCGTTATGTGAACAAAATTAATATACCCTTGTGCACAAGTGCGCTCGGGTATAAAAATTATACGTTTTTCCTTAAACGCAAATTTTGTCGCTAGTACTCGTCCGGGTACCACTAACGATTTCGCTGACCCGCCAGTAGTGAGTACTGGTCACCCGATATTAGCGATACCAATTCCTTTGGCTAACGAATTTAACATGGCAACGTCATTGAGGCGTACCGAGCGGTGCGCGTGGTTTGTCCTTTCGCTAACGATTACCTTGTGCAAAAGTGGCGGTTGCTAATAGCTAGCGCATTGCCTAACGACCAGGAATGCACAAAATCGCTAGTATGTGATATTTTCAATACGAGCGTCGCATAACCTGTCGTTAGCGAATTGCCTAGTCTGCGTTCAGACACGGAAACTCGAGTTTCTTCCCTGCAAAAAATTGTGCGACTAATCTCTAAAGCGAGTATTCCGAGATTACTCTCAATCGGGTACAATTGGGCATTAATTAGTCCAAACTAGTCTCATACGGGTACTATTGGAGGTCAATTAGTCTCGACTCATCCCTAATGGGTATAATTGGAGATCAATTAGTCCCCAACTCACCTCTAACGGGTACTATTAACGATTTAATGATATGTACGCACTTAGTCAAAGAAATTTCAAGTGCGGCGTTGGCACACAGAGAGAGTATTCGCCTAACAAAACTGAGCCCCCGGTTCGAATTTCAGCTGGTGCAAATTTTTATTTTTATTTTTTAAAAT